CAAAAACTCCTCTATCCAGGGAAAGCCGACATATTTCCATCTGTCTTTTGTCTTTACTGTAGTGGCATCCACAGCTTTCTAAATATGATTTTTAATATGTTTAATCATCACTTCTAAGGTACAGCAACATCTCAATGTGTGAGCTATTAACCTCCCAAGAATCAAAGTTCAGCCCCACATCTCTGTCAGCACTTATTGTTTATCGTGTATCCAGGCTGAAGATTTAAAGGTTTTAAAGATCTTTTTCTGTAATGTTTGGAGATATATAAAAAAACTCTGCTTTGAATATTGTAGTCTGTGTCACATAGAATTCGTTAAACATTGTGAAAAAATCCACATCAACACTCCACAAAAAAAATCTGAACCTCTGAATGTGCAAAGATTATTCACTACAAAAGTTTAACTACTGGATACACAAAATGTCATCGACCGCTGGAAAACCATTTTGACAGAATATACCTCAATGCAGACATCACTCAGTAGTTTACATATTGAACCAGGACTTACTTTCTGGTCCAGATTGATATAACGTCATTAACACAGCTTTAACTCAGATTGTAGTTGAACTCAGAGAAACTTTCTGCTGTCAGCTGTAGAATATGAAAATCATTTAAGCATCTGAACCTACAACATTCTGCACATTGAAGTCAAAACCTCCACGAGAACGAACAAATAACGGATTGCAGCTTCAGGTTTATGGTCGCATTTTTCCAGATTTATTACATTTTTTTGCCTTCATGTGTAACATGATCTGTTTGTTTAATTAGTGAAACACAAGCAGTGCATTTGCCCTGATGGACAACACATTTTGACACAGTACCTTTCATTTATATACTGGTTTGGTTCGTATGCTAAACTACAGTGTACTTTTCACCATAGTTGTTCCTGATGCATCGCTGTTGTACTTTGTCTCCAAAAAGCACAGGTTTCTGTTAGAACCAACCTCTAAAGCAGAGCTCCTTCTTCTTTTAATGTTGCTGATTAGTAAAAACAGCTGAGGTGTTGATCTTTAATATGAAACTACAAACCACAAAGGTCACCAAAACTATATCTTGACGCCCCTTGTGTGGTCTTAACTCCTGGATTGGAGACCACTGACTGACTGCAGCCTTCATGTTTATGGTGCAGTAAAGTCTATATTTGTAACTACAACAGCCTGTTTTTCTATGTGGGTGTGTGCGTTCACTCTCCCTCACCCATCGTCTGCCCCGAACCCAGAGCCAAACGGAGGTGACTCAGACCCAAGTGGGACTTCATTTTCTGGATGGCTGTTGCCACGGTTACCGGCTCATCCAAAACACTGAGTCGTCCCTGGCCGTGGCCCGGGAGAGGAGGCTGCAGGGATCCACAGGAGGAAGGTAGTGAAACAAAACAGTACGCATAAAACAAGGCACCAGTGTATCACTCTGCTACTATTCAGCAGTGATAGCAACAGGTTTTAAAAGACATCAAAATGTTGATTTGTTTCCATCTTAGAGAAATCAGTTGTTCTAAAATCGTCTTCTTCTTTCATTGTTATCTTACAGCAGCATGTGGTGTGTTCATGTGGTACCTTCTCTAGCTTCAGGATGCTGAGGGACTGGCTGGGAGTGCTGTGTCGTAACAAAGTCTGGACACTCGGTGTCAGTGCTGAGTCACTGCAGGTTATGCTGACAGGGATACCACCGCTGTCTGGTCTGTTGAGAAGAAATTTAACATTATTTGTTAGTACAAAGGAAAGAAGATCACAGCTGCTTCTCTGTCGGTCACATTATGGCTGAAACAATTACAATATGACGCATGGTTGTAATAACTGACGCTTCAAAGTGTGTCATTTCTAGCCGTCACCTTGTTGTAACAACTGACACCTAAATCTGGCACAAACTTTGGTTTCTCAGAGTGTTGTGTTCCCTGTGAAGGCTTCAGGTATCAGTTGCTTTAAAGCTGAACTACAATGAATGCACAACTACAGTAAAGAAAGAAAGTAACTCCATGAAAAATCAATGTATGTTTTGAGGCTAAAACTAGCAAAATACTCCTTCAAATAAACTTAGCAGCTAATCCGTGAACACATACTTCTATATATGTTTGATGTACACAACCTGCTGGCTGTATGCTGTAGTGTTGTTCCACCATCAACAGCCTTCAGTTCCTCCATAACAGTGTTCAGCTCCTCAGTGCTCCTGACCGTGAATTCCAGTTTGTGGCTGTGGGAGGCGCCACCGAGGGCCTGGCTCAGCACCGACACCCGACCGCTGCCTGACATGGAAATACACACTTACTTGGTCAGTGGGTCGCGTCATGTGTCACAACATTATAGCCTTTACCTTCATGAATATGCAATCACTGTAGGTATTTGTAACATTTTCCATGTAGAGAGCCCTCTTACCGAGTCCCCCGACCAGCCAGTCGTTCACGCCTCCTTTCACACTGTCCCACGAGGTGTGAGGGGAGAAGACGGCTATCCCCGCCTCCACAGCCCGGACGGCCAATCGCTGCTTCCAGTCTTTCTGAACCAGGCGCTTGATTGGCCGGAACAATGGCGGGTGGTATGAAATAATGAGGTCGCAGCTCGCGGCCTCGGCCTCCTCCATGACAGCCGCTGTGAGGTCGTTGGTCAGCAGGATGGTTTTTACAGGCCGAGGTTTGCTTGGCTCGACCAGCAAGCCGACATTATCCCACGACTCAGCGAGAGACAAAGGGGCGAGCTGCTCCAACACCTGCAGAACTTGCTTTAACTCCATCAGGCCGGTGCAATGAGCAGAATGAGACAAGCAGCGGGTAGAAGAGAAGCAAACAGGTGGATGAAGAGGAGCTGAGGTTTGTCTGGTGGATAAGAAGCTGTGGCTGGGGGTAGATGAAGGAGGAGATGGAAGGATGGAGGAAAGTGTTGAGGCTGAAGAGCAGAGAGCAGGCAGTGGTTTAAAATTCTTCCTGGTCCAGAGTCCTCTGTTGGTGAGTGATAAAAAAGTCAGAGGGAGATTTCTACCACCAGCCAACATCGGTGGAGATCTGTGTGGACGACAAGAAGAGAAACATAGCGTATTACTGTCTGTGATGTATAATACACCAGTAGCAGGTCATCAATCTACTAAGTCTGAGATTCATTGTTCTGCAGAAGTGAAATTATTGCTGAAGGAATTTATTGTTTAAACGAACAGTCAGAAAATGTATTGCCAACATTAGTTATAATACTAATTTGTTAAAGCATTTATAAATCAAAATGCCAAACATTCAAAGATGGCAGTCTCTGAAATATGTGGATTCACTGTAGGGCTGCAACAAACAGTGACAAATTAAAGGAAAATCCACCATCAAATGTCTCAGTGAGGTGTTTTTGCCTCCGTGTGCTGCCACAACACCTTCAGTGTACCCTGGCATTGATTTTTCAACCCTGTGTGATTCTGCTAAAGGGAATAAAGAGCCTTCTTCAAAAAGAGATTTCCTCATTTAGTGTTTTGATTATGGTGGTGGAAAGCACTGTTTAAAACGTCAGTCCAAAATCTCCCATAGGTGTTGAAATCTATTGACCGTGAAGGACATATTATATGATTCACATCATTGTTATGCTCATCAATCCAATCTGTGAGCCCTCAAATCCTCTGGATAGGTGCATTGTCTTCCCTGAAGAGACCACTGCCATCAAGATAGAAATGTTTCATGGCAGGATGAAGGTGATCACTCAGAACATCTTTATATTGATTTGCAGATTCTCTCTCAGGGGAAATGTACACCAGCAAAATGTCCCTCACAACATAACAGAGCCACCTGATCCCCTCACTGTAGGGGCCAAAGTTTCAGGTTTTTACCTTTTATTTGTCAGCTGTCTGTATCTACATGGAGGATTCCTCTGAGTCTGCTCATTAAAGTAACGTCTTCACATTGCTTGTTTTATCTGAATAATAGCTCAAATCCAATCACGTTCAGTTTATTCCTGAATGGTTGGCATTTTTGCTAGAACAAATGACCTAAACCACTAATCACTTTTAAACTGGTTGTTAATTATTGTTTTCATGACGGACTAATTGTGTGCTTTATCTCACATTTGGTGTCTTTTCACATTTAAAATCACTGCATCTTCTGTTGTTTGACTGGTTGATAAAAAGAAGTATATTAAAAAATGACACATAAGATACTGACAACTTGTTTTCCCCAACAAAAAATAAATCCTGACCTATTACAGATGACTTTATCATGAAAGTAGTAGTAGTTAATCAGTCCAGTCCAGACAAAGACTGTTAGACCAACTGTTGAAAAGTGACAGTTTCATTGTTATAAACTAGAAAATATAACACAAACAACACGACCCCACTTTCTTTAGCTCTGACTTCATTCAAACTCAATCAGCAGTCAGAGCAGTTAACAACAACAACAACAACAGCACATCTGAACTTTTTAATCTTCTCCATTGTCTCATCTAATGGTTATTATTGTGGAGACCTCTGAGACCGAGGACCAACATCTAGCAAACTGCAAACTAAACTGAGTAGACATATAAACGGACTTTTATTAGACGCGTTATTCATAGATCAAACCTGACCAGCAGTCATGCTGCACTGACAGCTGGCTAACATGCGGCTAACAGCAGAGCTAGCTAGTTAGCATTAGCTGCAAACCAAACGGCCACCGCTATTTTTTTTAAAACCTGGCTATTAACATACAAATATGTGCATGAGTGAATTTAGCGCACCTTTGCCTGCCTTTCACAGAAGAAGGCCTTATGCTGCTGAACAAATTGGTGTCGGACTGACAGACAAGCTGCACTTACTGGAGAACTCCAAGGCTATCCCAATCCGGCTTCCGTAGCAGAACGCAAAAGGTCCACATAAAGCGGAAGGATATCAGTCTGGGTAGCTATATGTGCACCTGTTTGTACTTTACAAAGTGAAACGTGTTTTTTTCCCCACACATTTTCTCCAAATATTAACAGTAGGCTTATTTCCAGTGGCAGAACTGGGCAGTTTTATAAGTCTTGATAATTTTAAGTTTTATTTTTTTCAGCAAATCACTTTTTTTTTTTTTTGGTTCACTCACTCCCATCATTTCCTAAAGCAGGCAAGACTGCCATGTAGAACTACAGGAGCATTTATAGCCTAGACAGAATGTGTCATAGGATTTTCACCTTTTCAGACAGAATCTTATAGAGCTCCTGTAAATTTCTCAAATCTTATTTAATTTCCCCTCTGGGATAAATAAAGTATTTTTCATTTCATTATAAAAAAAAAAACCTTTCCATTCCTCACTTGATTAAAATCTGAAACAGTCTGCTAATTGTCGATAAAGCCTAAGATTACACAAGATAAGTACACCTTTAGTTTATTACTTCTGGCTGCAGGTTTTGTGTCAGTCTTGCGTCTTGTTCAGCAGTTTGCACCTCATGTTTCCACAGCTCCTCAAAGTAAGTTCATCCCTGCAGTCTTTAAGATTCTGTGCAAGAGATTCAACTGAATACACAGATAAACCTAAATCGTACACACTTCTAATGAAAACATGCACAAACGGATTTTTTTTTTAATAGCATGCATTTTAAGATGCATTTTTCTTTTACCGTCCACACACACTTTTAGGAACAATATTATTAACATTTTAAATTCCTACAAAATCAGTCTGAACCTTTTCTAAGTGTAGTGGGGGGAGTTGCACCCTTAAATCCATCCCTATGAGAACGACAGTCGTAGAGAAATGATTGGTTGTGAAAAATTGCTGTAACTGTTCAACTTCAAAAGCATAAAACACTTCACTTGGTCACTGGTAAATTTAACATTGTGTAAAATGTGTAGAATGACAGAGTCCACTAAGATTTTCAAAGGCGTAACACAGCTGTAACAGCTGTTAGCGTGAACAGACAACTCAGGAATTCCTTTCATTGGTGTTTATACATAGTTTTGTAAGTTTAATCCCAGACTGAGTCCATCTTTGTAACACAAAAATCCCAACAGAGATAAAAGTATCTCTTTAGATGGACCTTGAGCCTTTTCCTCTAACCTCTGTTCTCAGAACATTATGTAATCGGCACACACATGTCCTGAGCTGCGACAAACATGTAGTGAATAACCACAGCAGCAAGAGACAAAATGCTGCTGCAGATAAACATCATAGCATTTATATAAAATTTTACTATGAACTATGAGAAAGTGCCTTACGAAAGTCTACAGACATGCAGATTTACAGTTAGAGCATATAAAAATAGCATTAAAAAAAAAAATCCACATCAGAGCCCTCACAGACTTTAAGATTTGAGAGTGTGACAGCCTTACGCCATCACTTACTGAGCAGGAATGAACGTCCAAGTCTGTCAGTCTAAAAATATGAACATTTGATTTGGGCCACAAACACACAGCTATTGGAGACAGCTGTGACAATCAGCTCACCTGAGCCCACTCATCCACCTCCTGCTATAAAAGCCCAGCTCACTCCCCCACACCCTGCCACACCATAAACCTTCATTGCCTGTGTTTCTGCTGGTCCCTGTTCTGTCTCTGAGCCACTGTGACCTGAACCCCCCCTGCATCATCAAGCTGTCTCCAGCCTTCTCCTGCCACCGATCTCCAACCTGTTTCCAGCCTGCATTCCCCCAGCCAGCCTGTACCTGCTCCCAGACCCGCTCCAGGTTTTCCCCAACCCTCACCAGATCCTGAATTCCCTGAGCCTGTCTGCCCGTCTTCAGTTTTGTCCCTTGTTCTGTGAGTATCCCTGCTTTGTAAGTTATAGATTACTTAATACATAGCAGTTTCCCTTTTAGTGTGTTTGGAGTTTTTCCTGGGTTTTTGTAGTTTTTCCCTTTTAAAAAAAAAAAAAAAAAGTTCTGTTTTGCCTCACTCTGTTTTCTGCTCTCAGTTTAGCTTCCCTCCCTCTGTAAATCCCTTTAAACTTCCACCTGCCCGTGTCCGCACCTGGGTTTTCAGACCTCCCCGTAATAGAACCAATACTGTCAACCTGCAGGGTGGGACTTCTTCAAATTCGCTTTCTAGTTTAATGTGTGACTGAATTCCTCCATCACATGTTGCTGTTATGTTGTATAGAGTAGTTTTACAGTGTTTGAGCAGGGTTCCAGGTGAGCTGGTGTGCTCGGGCCACAGCGAGTTGGGAGGAGTGGGTGGAGAGAGGGGTGTAGAGGAAAAAGAGCACAAGTGTAAAGTTACATCCAAGTCATTTCAAGGTAGATGTAAATTCTTTTCATGGAAATGAAGAATGTGGTACTTAGCATTTTTTATGACGATCAAAAGTTTTTTTTGTTTTGTTTTTTTTGTGTAATGCACCGTTACAACAAGAAGAATGATCTTTGCTTTCACAATGACAAACATTGTTTGCTGCAATAGATAAATCATACAGATATATGTGTCACTGCACATGTTTCTTGCTTTTCTTTATAACACCAGGTAAGAAATCAAAACATGTACATAGATTAAAAGCTTACAATGTAAGTGCGGGGTGGCCACTTTAGTCTGTGGTGATCGTGGTCATCCTGGGTCACTTCTTGGATCCTCCCCTACCCAGTTCAACTTTTGGTGGACGATATACATAAATCTAAAAGAAACAGGGAAATTCTAGACTCCAATTCTACAAAGTCTATTCAGGTTTAATGAACTCTAAAGTGGATCCAGAACCATAAAGTCCAACTCCAACATGTAGCGGCTGAGTGAAAGAGGTCTGGACTCTGTGGAGGAGGGTCATGGTTTCAGAGACCCTGTAGAAGGACAGAACACCTGCTCTATGATCCAGGTAAACTCCGATTCTGGAGGACTGAGGATATGAGACAGGAGTTTTAGTGTCGTTGTACCGAAATACAGAACTGTTGGTGTCACAATGTAAAGACCAGGATTTGTCAATGGACCCGAATAAACTTTCACATCTTCCCCCTGTTCTGCTGATATTCTTGTATGAAACTGCTACAAAAACTACTTCTCCTCTCCACTCCACCTCCCAGTAACAACGTCCAGTCAGACTCTCTTTACTCAGAACCTGCCGACAGTAAATGAACCTGTCTGGATGATCAGGGTAAGACTGTGGCTGATACACTGATGTTACTTTTCTGTTCCCATCAGACAATAACAGCCGTCTATGTGCTGTGTTTGGATCCAGAGTGATTTCTCGTGAATGTTTTAAGAATTCAGCTCTGGTCATTGGTTCTGACAGTAAAACATCCACGTCAGTGATGGCCAGTGAGATGTTTGTCCATGTGTCCCTCAAAACATCCTGTAGTACATCTCTGAGCTCTTCCACAGCTGCTCTCACGTCCTCAAAGTGTCTCCGAGGACGGATGCTGATGCTGGATGAGTGTGTGGACTCACTGAGTGCTGACACTGAGGGGTAGTTGTGGAGGAACTGGCTGTGATCTGATGTATCTGAGAGCTGCTTCAGCTCAGCGTCTTTCCTCTTCAGGTCACTGATCTCCTGCTGCAGCTTCTCCTCAAGCTCTTGGACTCGACTCACTTCAGCCTCCTGCTGGGATCTGATCTGCTGCTTCACCTCAGAGCTTCTTTTCTGGATGAGACAGATCATCTGGGTGAACATCTCCTCACTGTGCTCCACTGTTTTATCAGCAGAGACAATGAGGGCCTCCAGCTCCTGTTGAAGCAGCTTCACATCTTTCTCTCTGTCCTGGATTCTCTGATGGATGTTCAGTCGACTCTCCTCCAGCTTCTTCTGCTTCTGCTTCCTTTCTGCTGCAGCTGAGACTGTGTCGTGGCCTTTATGTTCATCCACAGAGCAGAGATAACAGATCAGCTGCTGATCAGTGCGACAGAATATCTCCATCAACTTATCATGATGACGGCAGATGTTCTCCTCAAGGTGTTTGGAGGGCTCCACCAGCTGGTGTTTCTTTAATGGAGCTAGATCATAGTGAGGCTGAAGGTGATTCTCACAGTAGGAGATCAGACAGACCAGACAGGACTTGCCAGCCTTCCTCTTCCTCCCAGTGCACATATCACAGGCCACATCTTCAGGTCCAGCATAGCAGTGATCAGCAGCAGCAGCTTCAAGTCCAGTCTTCTTCAGCTCCTCCACTAACTCTGCTAACAGGATGTTTTTCTCCAGAACAGGCCTCGGTGTGAAGGTCTTCCTGCACTGAGGGCAGCTGTAGATTCTCTTACCGTCCTCTGCATCCCAGTGGCCTTTAATACAGTCCAGACAGTAGCTGTGTCCACAGGAAGTAGTCACCGGATCCTTCAGCAGATCCAGACAGATGGAACAAGAAATGTTCTCTGAAGTAAGATTACTTCCTCTGTGAGCCATTTTCTCATCTGAGCAGTAGCTCTCAGTAAAGTTAGATCCAGTCAGCTCTCTGGTCACCTGTTGTGTTGTAAAAACACCCATCACTGTAAAACATTGACATTTTATAACACTTTAAACTGTACTTTAAAAAAACAAAAAACACTTTACTGTGACTTTACCAATTTTCCGTCTTTAGTTATTTTAGTTATTTTCATTTACAGTTTTTGGACGTCACATTATTTCACTGAATTTTAATGTTTGTTTTTTTTCTGACAACTTTGCTGCCTGATAGTTGTTTTGTCATTGGATGTTTTTTACAGTGTAGTTCCACCCACATTCAAGGGAACCTTTGACCACAGATATACAGTATCTGTACAAGTTATCCACTTTTATTGCTTTACAACACTGAATCGAAAAGACGGTATAATCAATATGCTTTGGCTTTTTGGACAAAGTATCAAAGTGAAATCACATTTTTACAATGGAAAGCAAAGTATTTGAAAATATAAAATTTAATATAAGTCTGTATGTAAGATGAGTGAGGGAGGCCACCAAGACACCAATGACTCCACTGAAGGAGTTACAAGAAAGAGACTAGTGAGATTAGGCCCACCACTCAGAGTCCACCATCCAGAGGGCCCACACATCCAAAGGGCCCAACACTCATATGGCCCACCACCCAGAAGATCAACTACACAGAGGGCCCACCATCCAGGGAACCCAAAACCAAAGGGCCCACCCTCCAGAGGATCAATCACCCAGAGGGCCACACATCCAAAGGACCCACCATCCAGAGGGCCCACCACCCAGAGGACCCTGGCTCTGGTTGACTACGGTTTGCTCAGGGGTCTCCTGTAGTAGCTGACAGGTGCCAGCCGGTCAAAAGGGCTGCAGCTGTTGCAGTTGCGGAAGCCAGAACTCGGGTGCAGGAGAAGTTCAGAGAGGCTATGGAGAAGGACTTTCGGTTGACTTCGAGGAAGTTCTGGCAAATCATTCAACACCTCGGGAAGAGGAGGCAGGGCTTGGCCAGGCTGTGGACAATCAGGGAGAAGATCTGCTGATCTGGACTGGGGAGACTTTGGAGTGGTGAAAAGAACTCTTTGAGGAACTCCTTATCTCCTCCCAGGGGGAACGTCATACACACCTGAAATTTGGCCAGCACAAACAGCAGGACGTGGTCATTAAGTTCATAAAACTCACTGCAAAAGTCTGATGGCGTCAAAATGGCGACCCCCGGAACTTTGACATAGCATCATATAACGGAACATGCTTTGCAACTGGTCTCTATGTGCTCTGATCTGCCTGAAATTTTACAAACATGCTCCAAGTCCCAGCCGGAGCATGTGCCACAGCCCAACACGCACACTGCCACGGCTCGCCATTAAACAGGAAATGCCATTTAACCAGGCGGAATGTGCTCTGATCTGCCCGAAACTTGACACGCCGGATCACAGTCCGGCTAGAGCGCATTACCGCCGCGACCCACTACGCACGTTGCCTCAGCTCGGCATAAAACAGGAAGTGGCGTAAAACTAGGCTGCAGATGCTCCATTATGCCCCAAACTCGACACCGGATCAGAGTCCCACCCAGAGCGTGTTGGTGCTACAGCCCAACATGCACGCCACCTTGGCTTGCCATTAAACAGGAAGTCCCTCCTAACTCATCCACATGTGCTCCAATCTCCCCAAAACTCGACATGCTGGATCAGGGTCCTACCCGGAGCGCATTTCTGCCAAACACCAACGTGCACGAAGGCCGACAATTGTACAGCGAGGACCCATCCATCGCTGCTTGCAGCTTTAATTATATATGTAACTGAAAAGCTTTGGTGCAGATGATGAAGAGACTGGTTCCTATTATGATGATTGTAGTTACCATAGCAACCAGTATCTTTTTCTTCTATGTCCTTATTTTTGTAGCATTAGTTTGTATTTGTTTTTGTTTTGTTTTTTGCAAATCTATTCTCTATTATTTGCTTCCATTTTTTGTGTGAAAAGCCACAATACTGGCAGATCTTTAACACAGACCGATTCATCACACCTACTCCCAGTGGGAGGATCTTCTAGCATATAGTACTCCTTTAGAGTTATCTGCAAAACCATCACTAAGGAATTTCACTAACAAATGTAGCTTAAGTACAAAAAAAAGCTGCCAGTTTGTACCTGAGCTCAGAGTAGCAGAAGCAGGTTTTCACCCTCAGACCTGTGACTCTGAGGCATCTTTGTTTTGTGAGAACACTGAATCCAAATTGGCTGTGAGTATAGAAAGTACAGTCATACCTACAGACAATTTGATTAAAGTAGATTAATCAAGTTCTAGTCTCTGTTTTCTCACAATGTATTGTCCCATCAATGTCAGATCTTTCTTTGAAACTTCTATTACAGATACTACTGGTGAACATTGTAAGAAAATAAGGTAACTGATCGGTATCAAACTTCACCAGCTGATTACTTCCAACAAGACAATGGTTTGTTTTAAGCATTACAAGTTTTCTAAATGTATACATATATAGGTATTATATACCGTTTAAACAAAATGCTATAATTTGCATTAATTGCAGAACAAACATCTAAACATTGGATAAACCAGCTTTAAATTGTGTGTTCAGTTTTGTTAACATATTGGACTGAAAGGTCTTGACAGAGGCCTCTTTGTTTGTCACTTCATACATCAGAAAATACTGCCAACAACCACAAAGAAAAATCCATTTTCACTGTTTTCAGGAATACAACTTCAATCAAACAGATGCATGAAAGATGCATGAATAAACTCTCTTGTGCAAAATCTTGCGAATATAAAATAGAATAATACTGAAAAGTTTGGTACATGTAAGCACTGTTGAAGTGAATAATTGTAACTCAGAGAAGGAGAAGTTTTCTGTATGCAGATGAACCGGGGCTATTAACTCATTGAACATGCACTCATTTGGATAAATGTCCAACAGACAAAGTGTAGTAAAATGAACACCTAAATGTGCATTTTGGATGTTCGCTTATCTGAAAAAAGATATGTTAGGGAAGAAAAGTAGCCCAAATTTCTACACTGACCAACGCATGGTCTTCTTCATCATCCTAAAGTAGTACATACAAATCTATAGTAATATTAATAGCATTGTAAACAACTACAAAAACACAAATCATTGTCGACTGGATTTGGCTCAAGACATGTCTTTAAATAAGAAGCAAACTCCATATAGCTGTTCGTATTATATAATACTGTTTGTAAATAATGCTACAAAACACATTCGCTGATTAATGTGAACAGGAAAAGACTAGACGTCTGTGATAAGCTGTATTAACTCCCACAGCGCAGGTGGTCCAGCCGAAGATACCCAGGACGCATCCGGCTCCTCTCGGAAAGATTACCAAGAGTTCGGCAATAAACAAATGAAAAACGCACTTGAAAACCAAAACAAAGCGGAGGGTTATCAATGCTGGGGGATGATTGCAGCGGATTAAAACCGCAGTTCTCATTATGCGCTCGACAACAAGCTGCTGGGCAGAGTGGCTACCTCGGAATTGAGTCAGAGAGCGACCAAGAGAGAGATTATTGTGGATTAATGCAATAAAGGTCATTGCTGGATGTTAGAGGGATCAGGGAAGGCTCAGTGCAAAGGCCGGACAGCGAGCATTACATCATCTGATTCTTCCTCTGGCCTCATTGACCACTCTTTGCACTACACCCCTAAAGTTTAAAGAAGCACCCTCACTTAGATTGCATTTACATCCCTATAGAAGCAATCAAGTGTAAATCTCTCCGGCGTGTCTCTCTCCGACTCTCCGTCCAAGCAAAGGAATAACGGCAAAAAAGTAAACCAGAACTTTTTTTAAGCACATTGGCACAGCTATCGCCTCTCTCGTATCCAATCTGTGGAGTGCCGTCCACAGATGTGTGTTTAGTTATTAGGTCTGTGTTCAGAGCGAGAACAGATTCACTTTTGTTAATTGGTACTATAAGCCCTCGTGCCCCATCTGTCCGTCCGACTGAAGGTCTGCCCAGTTTGTCGTGCACCAACATCTGTCTGACCGCTCTGTCCCCGATATGAGGGTGCAGTGTGTCCCCGTCCACATCCCTAAATTCAACCCAGGTATTTAATCTCAGCTGTGCCGGCTGTGGATCAGTCTGACACAGTCTGTCAGGATAAATTCTACCCACAGGACACGAGTTGAGATGAAGTCTGTGGAAGTTCATGAGCAAACTGGAGATAACTTTGCCAACTACGGATATAAACTAGCAATGCTAACTAGGAGTTCTTCCTGCGATTCTCTTCAGGGCAATGCAAATGTTTTCATTTTATAATGCTCTTTAATACTCTTAAGCTCTTCCCTATGTTCGCGCTTCCATTAAGCTAACAACTCGCACTTCCAAATTTCCAAATTCAAAGAATGGCTCTTAAAAAGGCTAAATTTTAGGACATGCACATCTTCTTTCCCCCTTTTTTTTGGCACCTAATACGTACAAATCTGTTATGTATGAGCAATGATGTCAGAGTTTTGGTATTTTATGAGCAGCGGTCTTTTCAAATCAGCAGTCTCTCTATTTTTGGTCTCACAATCTCTTTATCCTAATGTCCTTCCAAAGCCAGGACAGAGAAGTTACTCAATCCTCCACAGTTTTTACCAGCAGCAGCAACAGAGCAGCGTCTCTGGTGTTTTTCGGAGCCCAAATCCCTTTTCTGGAACATGAAATCCATAGATCATTACGCTGATTTGTTATACAAGCAGCAAGTTGCATATTATTATGCAAGACGTCATGCGGGGCATGTGTTCCACATTTGAATTGATGTTTTGTTTGTTGGCACGGAAGCGACGGACCTTTTTCACGGCAGACTTGACATAGTAGCAAAGCGCAGGTCAGACAGAAGTGAAATCTATGCAAACTAATCACAAAACACGCCCGTTTCCTTTCAGGCGCTGCACAGGAGCCGCTTTGCTCTTAAATAAACACTCCTGCAACATTTAAAGATATTTGGATCCTTTATTGTGTTATTTGCCAATAAAAGGCAGGTTCCCATGATCAAGATTTAACTCGCTGGATTTCATTCAAGTATGTGGACCTACAAGTTAGATATTACAACAAGCCCACATTAAATGCTGTATACATCCATATAGACAGTAGTAGCATAACTTTATGTCTTGACTTTGTATTATAACATTGTTTCAGTGATAAGAATGATGCAATACAGTCAGAACAATAAATATGTTTTCAATATGTTCCATCCACTCCAAAAAATACATCTCAACAAACCAAACTGACTTCTTGTACATTCAATACACATCCGCAAACAAAACATTTCCTCTTGTTGACAGGATTTTTTCAGAGCTCTCACATTTAAAAAAAACAAAAGTCATTACACGACAGTCAGTCTTTGCATAGCTATAAGATTCTCTCTGAGAACAGCTTGATATTGCTTCATTTTTCTTCACAGCACAGAGTTTTAAATGTGTTATGTGTTCATTCTGAATATGTACAACTTGATTTATCTGGGAGCTTTGGAGAAAGACAGCATCAGTATGAGTGCAGAGGTGCAAATAAACTTTGTTGGTCGTCCTCGGCCGTCATTGGCGGGACATCATTCTGACGAATTCTGCAAAAGGAGAAGAAGAGTTTAATTAGTTTACTGTGTCGTGAAAAATGCATGAACAAATCACTCAAACAAAGTACATAAGCTGCTGTAACTGAACTGTTATTGGTGTGTGTGTGTCACTGCGGTTCGTACCTTCAAAGTCTACCGTCCCGTCTCCGTTGTCATCGGCTTCTTTAACTATGGAATCGATCTCTCTCCGGCTCATGTGTTCTCCCATTAACTTGGTCATGGCTGATCGCAGTTCCTCTGTTGTGATCTCTCCATCTCCGTCCATGTCAAACTGACCACAGCAACAAGAGAAGAATGACAAAGGAAGGTCAAAGAGTTATTTATCTCCATGGCACCATGATGGGGATAATAAGTAGAATCTGATCGGACAAAACCAGATAGTTGCTCCTGGAAGCTCTCACCTCCTTAAAGGCATCTTTGAGCTCCTTCACGCCGATCATCCCAGCTGTCTCCGCCAAAAGCTTCGGGGCCATCAGGTCCACAAAGTCATCAAAGTCGACTCTGCCACCAACTAGTGAGAAAAGAAGGTGCAAGAATTCAGAGACACAGTTCATTAGTGCTGCATTATTTGCAACCTGGCAGCTCTGCATCCTACAGTCCTCCTCCTGTGGAGGTCTGTGGGGTTTTCTGTGTTTCATCAACTCTGCATTCATTTTCAGTCAAATCTATTTATGGAACTCTGGAGCAAACACACTTTTTCTTGTATCTTATTTAACGAGGACTCACGGTTCATATTGATGTTCTGGCTCAGCTCGATCAGCTCCATCTCAGTGGGCATGTAGCCCATCGTCCTCATCAGGTTCCCCAGGTCCTTGCAGCTGATCAGTCCGTCCTTGTCTTTGTCGAACTCGTTGAAAGCATCACGCAGCTCTGCAGAGGTGTGAAGAAAAAAGAACTTTTGAATATGTGGGTTCGGTGGACAAGTGAGCGTATGAAATGTGTTAAAAAAAACAAAACAGGGGACATTACTGCATTTTATAATGAAAACATGATAATGGGATGATGGTGAGAATTCCACTTACCATCAATCTCATCATCAGCCAGTTCTCTGGACTGCACAAAGAGAGAACAAAATCGCTTAGGCCCAGTGTCACGTGGACATTCACAACAAACTCTACTGAATACAACAGCTGTCAAACACACAAAACACTAATCAACCATTTGGATGTTTGGTTTTTTAACAGCTCAGTATAGAATATTTCTACAGAATTAAACAGAGCTGTAACAAAGAGATTAACCTTTGGGATTTTCAGATGTCCTGGACTTAAGTGTAGACTATGAGCTTCATATGGGCCAGTATCATCACTGGCATACGATCGCACAGATTGTCCCTGACTGTGTATCTGTCTCATTTCATCCTGTTACCTTTGGGGTTATAATCCGATCAGGCTTTCGTAGCAGTTTGCAAACATCAGCACAAAGCCGTCAAGAATAAGAAATGCGTGTTGCTCCTGCTGCTTGTACTTACAATGTTCTTCCCTCCTCGCAGGAAAATGCATGCGGCTCCGTAGTTCATTTCTGGGAGAGGAAAGACAGAGTGTGATTATTAGAAGATGAAGTATTATGGTCTGTGCTCACTATGTCCTTTGTGTGGACTGCTATTGATTTTCTTAAACTTGCAGATGTCGACTTAGAACTATTTGATTGAACACAACTTTAGGACACACACAAAAAAATGTGTTAAAATACTAATTTGTTCCACTGACTTAGCTGTACAAGTCATTTTCTAATAAAGTTAGAAAGAAAAGTGGCTGTTTGCACCCACCTTCGTCTGGTGATTTTTTGTCGTCAGCCAAGCGCATCTCAGGCAAAACCACAGCTGGTGACCTGTGCAGAGCAAAGAGCCCTCTGCCGTCTGTTTCTTAATCTTCCTCTAAGTATCGGCCTTGTTTCTCTTCAGTCTCGACAGCTTTGCCTCTAGGCGAGCAGCGACCCTGTCTGCTCAGCCTCTCAGGATGCTGGGAGGTTGTATGAGAGGAGGTGTGGCTGCATCCAGGGTTGTAGGCTGTCGGGGAGGAGTCAGCGCTGTGACCGGAGGATCATCTGTGAGCTCAAGAGATGACGCCCCGGTTTTCCATCGGAGTGCTGACATCACCCACAGCTGACAGAGGAAACGGGATGCTATCGGTTAACAGGTTAGAGGGTACAGTTGCTTGTTTACAGGTTCTTTTGTTTACAGTCAATTAATTACAGTCAGCGTCTCCTGTTCACCCACACAACAGATTCAACATCGTCTACTACTGTAAAAAGAAGTGTTTTAGTTACAGTATAAAAGAATGACATCTTCAGCTAAGACCTACATTATTAATTTATCTAGTTTGGCAATTGATAATTTTGTCAGAATATAATACAAATACCCCCCCCCACACACACACACACACACACACACACACACAGACACACACTCGTACTAAATTCTTTGGGATTATCAGAAAATATCAGAATGATCAAAACAGGGGAAAGCAACAAATCTTTGCGATTGAGATGTAGGAAACCAGCTAAAGATTTGCATTTTTGACTGATAAAGGATCTTATAAATAGCTGACTTTTAATTTTCTGCAATTGATTAATTACTTGTTCAGCACTTACAGTCCTGTGCAAAAGTTTTAAGCCACTGTTAGGTTGGCTTAAGGTTGGATTTAGGTCGAGCTAAAAGTATTTAGTGTGACCTTCCTTTTCACTAGACACGTCTCGAAGTCCTTTAGGGGGACAATATAGGATTTACGGCACTAATCTTCTCGTCTATTACACCAGATTTCATTGATGTCGAAATGTCAAAAGTTTCTAATTGATTGGCTGAGCTACAATGTGAAGAGATGGATTATTAATGCTGAAAAGTACGGACAGATTTTGATTCATCATGCTATTCTGCCTGGAGTGATGGGAAACGGGTTTATTGTTCCAATGCAGTGAAAGAGAAAGTGATGGACCGGGTTTCCTGCAGAGTTCTGACGTGAATATTAAGAAGCTGAACGGGATCATCTGGACAGAGACAAACATGAAAGACAGAACTCTGGTGTAATGCACGACTGAATTATTAAAGAAAATATAAGACAGTTACAGCAAGAGAGTTCAAAATGTGCCAAGTCTTGTGATTTATTTTTTCTTAGCTGTTGTTTTGAATGCTGTGTACATGTTTCCTGTATTTTATTGGTGCATCTAAATAAAAAGACAAGAAATAAACATGTAAGCTCATCAGCTTTGCTAAAACAACACATCTAATGGTAAGACTTTTGCACAGCGTAAAATCCAAATTGGTCTGTTGAGCAGGGTGGAGATCACATTTTGTTTGGCTTTTTTTAGGTGATGTGCTTTTTGATCTTTTAACTGCTCTCCTACCAACTGCAGGACAATAAATGTCAAAAAGAGCCACAACCATGTAAAATAACCAGAAACTATATTGTGATCATTTTTACTTCAGAATTTTCTAACATTGATCAAAGCACTGTTTTTATGTGAATTCATTTTAATACTTAACTTATTTTTTCTTTCTTTCTGGAGAACTGTGGACAAATCTCAATTATTAAAGGCGTGCTTGTATCAAAAGACCTTTTTAACTTAGACCAATAAAGTCACATATTAGTCGTAAAATTATAATAGGTTTGACTTTTACAGCTGATTTAAATAAATACTGAACACTCTGAGTTATTTGCTTCACTTTTTCAGCTTAAAAACATCACAAGGTGAGACGATAAAAGCACAAACTCTCAGCTGATCCTGTCAGTTGTTCTGACATGAGAGGAAAACAGATTATTCAAGACCTACAGCTAATATCCAATTGTGTGATAATCTCCAGAAGTATTGGTTACATTTGTCTGGGGGGGAAAAAAAGCACTATGTGTTGTATTAAATACCCCGATGGCAGTGTCTGGGGTTAATGCTTCGGGGTCAATCTTCACTTCCTGCAGCAAATGTGGAGTCTGAATGAACTGACGGAGCTCTGAGTCCTGATGCGTGTCCTCTGCTCTGACCTTTTCCCCTTCTGCGCGCTTCTCTGTTATGTAAATTCATCAAAAATCTGTTTGCATAAGAAGCATAATCCGCCGGGCTATGCAAGCGGGAACTAATAACGATTTATTATTTTTTCCCCCCCCTCCCTCGCTGCAGTGGGCCAGCTGAGAGGTTATGAAAGGTCACATGCACGGCTGGTAAAAGATGTCTGTGGACTGAAGGGCAGGAGGAATATGGGTGAGGAGAGTATGAATGAGAACTGAGAAGAGAAGGAGGGAGGGAGGGCTGGTGAGAGAAATGATAGTGTGAGGAGATTTAAAAAATGTATGTTGATCAGTAAGAAGATTAGGATGCTGTTACACCACATTAAAGCACAACTACAACATAAAAAAAAAGAAAAAGCACTGGGAAAACTATAAAAATATGGCAACAAGTGGGGCGCCGCTATAGCTCACCTGGTTGAGCTAGTTGTATGAAATGAAGTAACACAATGAGAATGAAAAATAAATAACAGGCTCAATACTATTAATAATCAATACTATTAACCAAATACTATTTAACTATGGTTAAAAGATGCTACACTGTAGCGATCAGAAATCACATTTATTTATTTTTCATATACATAAATAGAGGAAGTTCGACTAATCAGCTGCTGAACTACTCAAACAATCCATCCATCCATTATCTATA